CATAGCTCGAGAACATTAATTTGAAACTAAGCTATGAAACAAAGTTAAATCATGAAACGCTAGAACGCTCACTCATCACATAGAAATGTAACTGGGAAATAAAAGCGATTTCGGGTCAAATAGACCCGAACAGTACAGCAGGATTAAAGATGTAAATATGCTTCTCTACGAATCGTTTAAAACTTGAAATATTGTGATATATCTCATAATAAAGCATTTTCCATTAAAAATAACGAAATAATTTTAAATTTTGTTAAGAAACCAGAAGAAAGTAAGCAAATAATATGGTGTTGTGCTAATTTAAGCGAATTCATGAAACTTATTCTCTCCATAATACATTTAGTTTAACGCAAGAAAAAGATATTACATCATTAATCATAATGTGTGTAACAAATATTTTGATAGCAATTACAAAAATTAATTTTTCAACGCGAGGAAAATAACGAAACTTCAAAAATCTCAAGATGATTGCACGTCAGCTGTTCGCTCCAGATCACTTCGCCGGAAGAAAGGCGAAGGACGAGGAAGGAGGGCAGAAGACGTTTTTCTTATTCAGTGAGTGAGGTTAAGGGAGCCAGCCCTGAGGGTTGCTCGTGAAAAGAATAATCAGCTTGGCTGCACCGTGGCTTCTAAAGATAGACTTTTTACAGCTCTTTTTGCGAGCTTGCGTAAAGACGAAATCCAGATGATCGCCGAGCGCTGCGGTCTCGCATTGTTTATCACTTACACTCGAACGGCTCTTATCCAGGTTGAAAATGCAATTGTGTTTCGATCCGTAAACGTATTTTTATCGCGAAACCGCAAGACACCTCGCGAAAAACATCTTCTCGTCGATCGGATTCGTAAATTTTATACATTTAATGAAGACACTTATGAATATATTTCATTTTATTCATAAAAGTGCCTCTAAAAGTGACTTAAAAACCATCCGATTGGCTGAGAAACCATACACGCAGAAAACAAGATTTGCTAAAACAGCATATTGTTAATATAGTGACAGCAAGAAGATTTGTTACACGGAAAAAATCATTTTGCTTTTATAGCAAAATTCGTCGTTGCGACAACAATAAAATTTAGTTGACATAACCAAATTATTTTACCGTTCATATATCCAGCAAATAGCAATTAATATTCTTAACAAATCTTTCTACTGTCCAAACAAATTTTTTTGCCGTCACATTTAACAAACAATTTGCTGTTCTAGCAAAATTTGTTTCCTCTGTGCATTTAAGACACTTTTATCGATAAAAGATAGTTCAGAATACGGGCCTTAGAGTCTGCTTTACATCGCTCGTTACGCCGTTGATTGAACAGCGAACGATTAAGGAGGTTGTAAGGCAGCATCGTATTTTCAGTGGCGCAACGAGGGAGCCATTTATGAATTTAGTATTTGTCAAGTAAAAAATTACGTTTCTACATATTTATTTCACTACCTAAATAATAAATGTTAATTTTTTAAACGAAGTTGAAAACATATATACGATATTACAAATATGAAAATATTATTTTTTAAATTTTTTTTATGAATGCGATAGCATTGGTTGATCTAATAAAGATATATAAATAATAAAAAGAAATTATATAAATGTTTAAATAGATGTGTGTGTGTGTGTGTGTTTCGAGTATTATTATAAATTATAAACTTTATATCGGTATATTTTCAAAACAAAATGATCAATAATTCTGAAATTTATGTATAACGTCTGCATATTAGTCTTTAATATCACAGTACTTTTCATAAAAAATTTTTTAGTTTAGAAGATATTAAAAATAAAAATTAAAAATAGTACGCTGATCTCAAGGAATACGTATAAAAAGTGTCAAAAGGTGTCACTATTTGCAAATATCTCTCAACTCTCGAATAGTCAATCTCTTCCTAATTGCAGTTAGATAACATTTCAGTGTATACTTGCGGTGCATGTTTCATCGAATTCTTATTTCATTTCGCTTTACAGCCTCCTTAAGGGTGAGAAAAAACTCGAGGCCCTTGACGCACCGTCTCTTACGCACAAAATATTGTAGAAGCGCGCACGTGTCCGCGCCTCTCGGGGATCTTTAACGGTTCGGAGTTCTCCCGCAGAGAACGATCGCATTGCGTTGGTCCCTCTTTCCTCCCGGTAAGCTCCCGGTAACGCTAAATCGCCGGCACGGCTAAAAGCCATCGCGCACGAAGCAGCCTATCCGTAACCTTCGACCTCGATTTCAATCGGCGACAATCGACGCTTTGTCTCTTCTCAGTGAACAGAGACGCACTATAAATCTTGTCACTTGCGTGACAGCAAATAGTCCTCAAAGATCTCGGCTGCGCGATTACAACGGTATGTAGATCGGTGAGGTTAAACATCCGTACAGAAAGCCTTCCTTGTCGTGTTACGCGCACGAGAGCACCGTGCGTGTCTCTTGAGCTTACATCTATTAACGGCCCGCGAAGTACGTGCGTGAAGAGTTTCCCTTCTAATTTCATAAAAGTATGTTGCAATGCAATCTTTTCGTTCAGTGCTCTAGTTCAATTGGCAATTTTTTTCCTTTTCATTTCACATAAATGGATTGTGTTTCAATGCGGTTAAAGTAGAATGGAAAAGGAAAAAACAGAAAAAAAAATTATTTATTATATTTCAGCATGACATCCAATCGAAGCAACACGCAGATATAATGTAAAATGAAGTATAGACATTCGTCACGACATAGAAAGGACAATGGTATAGTCGTGGATAGAAACGTTGCCACTCTTTTTTATTGTACAAGATTCGAAACGCATCCCGTGTCCAATAAGAAAATTTATTTCTGAGTTATTCTCAGGAGAAACATTTCCTATTGAATGCGAGATACGTTGTGAAACTCACAAAAAAAAAAAGTGTGACAACCTTTCCGCTCGTAACTGTACAACCATTAAAAGAAGATTCGAGGAATCGAGAGGTTCTCGGTTCATCTCCTCGTCGTGTCCGTTTAAACAGACTTCCGATCCCGTCCATCGGGATTTCTTTAAATCTAATTCGGCGTCGTACAAACAAGGATAACGATCGAATGCATCTTCGACGGCGTTGTCGTACAGCGCTTGAAATTCGCCGTGAAAAGATGACGTGGAAGATGAAAGAGAGGAGGAGGAGGAGGAAGGGAGAGAGAGAGGGAGGGAGGGAGAGAGAGAGAGAAGGAGGAGGAGGAGGCAGGTATCCGAGACAAAAGTTTCCGCAAGCGGGAAGGGGTTGAGATGAAGTTTCCACTTTGCGAGAGCTGTCGTCGACAATGCCACACTCGCGGAAGAGGGTCGCGAAAGAAGGATATCTGATGAGAACGTCGCAGGATAGGAAGCGAGGCGGAGTAGGAGACGCCAATGAGGAACGATATCCTCGTTCCTCGTGGAATCCAGCGGATCGTCCATTGAGGGAAAAGTCGGTCAACGATACACGAGGCTGTAAGCTTCCCGTGAAATGAGCTTTTACCGAACGGCCCATGGAAATGAGCGCGAACACGATACGACGGGCGAGCGTCATCCTGAAATCGGAACGGCCGGAAATGACGCCCCGCCGGGCTTTTTCGCAACCCATTTCCCATTGTGTCGCGTGCAAATCCGCTCCGAGCATATCGAGCGCGGATCACGGAGTTATTGGCGTGCGAATACGACATTATATCGCGATATGACACGATCAGATCCCCCAAATTGGGGAAGTCCGCTCTTTCTCTCTCGGAGGATATCTCAGGATTTCATTTCCAGGTTGCGACGTCACGTAAAAACAGATACAAGCGTCAAGTTTCCAATCGGGAATTTCACATTGAAAAGTGTTTGATTGGATCTACCTGGCGACAGACAACTAAATGTGTTTTGCTTGAAGGAAACCGAATTTCTAGTCGTAAGAACCAAAATGTGGTTCGCAAGAACTAAGAATTTTGCTCCCTTCAACTGCATTCGATGTCCAGCGTCAGATCCAACTGAACTTACTTTTCGGTGCACTTTTTCCCGTCTAACGCAACATCTCAGAGCCTCCCGTTCAGAAGTCAAACATTTCCCTCGTACCACAGCAATCCAGATTTGTTTCGATCGTTCGCTCGCGACTCTCGAAATCTCGACCGATGCAATTTCGACCGGGTCTAAACGGGTATCGGGGAAAACGAAACAAAAAAAAAAGGGGGAACAAAAAATACCGTGGAACTCGATTAAAATTCGCTCGCTGCAAATACTTCGCCGAACGTTGCCGAAACGGGAAAACTGATGGTTGCACTTCTCTCGAAATACGCCGAAAAGCGGAGAGAGAGAGAGAGAGAGAACGGCAGCAACACAGCGGCATACGGCAGGAACGCCGTTAATAATTATCGGATTCGCGATACGATAAACCGTCGGCGGACCGCAGGGAATAAACCCAAAATTGTTTCCCGCTCGTTAGCCGGTATCGGCGTCGTTTTGGGAATTTAGAGATTCGTTTCTCGATGACGAGAGTTCTCTCTCTCTCTCTCTCTCTCTCTCTCTCTCTCGTATCGAATGGGTGGCATCGGCCTCATCTCTCCGATATATACATTGTGCCGATCGATGAATTCAATTTTACCACGTAAATTCGCATACGAATCTACCCGAAAGAGTTCCTCTCTCTTCGACGATTCTACAGGCTGTTGCTTCATGGTGTGTGTATGTACACATACGTATATATACACAACAGCCGGCGTTTTGCGCTTTCGACAAAACACGGAGCTCTAGACCAAAAATCTAAAGTTAAGAGGTGTGCGGACGACACAGGTATGTCAAAAGAGCGAGAGAGAGAAAGACTCGGCAGAATCGCAGATGGTATCTACGAAAGAGGCCACAAACAGATCTACGTCTACCAGTTTCTACACACAAGATGTCGAGAAACGGGAATAATCCTCCCCGTCGTGTGTCGACGAGGCTGGACGAGCAGGAGGCTCATGATCGATCGGCGATCACGCAACATCAGCCGATCGACGACCGGGAAGCATAACAAACAGCGAGAAGAAGAGGGTGAGAGACGGAGGTGTGTATGCGTGTGGCTCACCTAGACCCATCTTGCGCTTGAGCTTCTTGAGTACTTTCATCTTGCTGCGCAACGGTGCTAAAATGTTGCTGTCACCGCTGCTGTTGTGCTGCGGCGTGGCTGGCGCGTGCTTGCCGTGATGATGATGATGATGGTGATGGTGGTGATGCTGGTGATGATGATGATGGTGCGGTTCGAAGGGCGTGGACTGTTGCTGATGATGCTGGTGGTGCTGATGCTGGTGCTGATGTTGCTGCTGTTGCTGCTGCTGCTGCACGCTCGCGCCAGAGCCGCCGACGTGGACGCAGCAGTGACAGGGGTGGCTTTTGCTGCCCTTGACCGCGCACTCTCCGGACACCCCCATAAATGTGGCCGTGCTGCTGCCGCGGTCTCGGTGAGTCAGGCGCGAAAGCTCGCGACGAGGTGTGCGGAGAGAGAGATAGAGAGAAAGAGAGAAGAATAAGAAGAAGGTCGACGGTTGACTAGGAAAAAGGAGAAGGGAGATGAGGAGGAGGGGCAGGAGGAGGAAGGAGAGATCGACGCGGAGCAACCGGACGGCAGACTTGAGATGCGACGAGAGCCTCAAGTCCGATGACTCACTGACGATCGCACTGATTCGGACACTGATCCTGAAGACGGCGGGACAACTACTCGGGACTACGTCTCCTGGTTGCTGCACACCACTGTCCGGCCGATCGGAGTCGCGGAAATCTGCCTAAGCGAAGCCTTCAACTTAGCGCGAGGACTCCCGACAGGCTTTGGTGAAAAAAACAACGACAAACTATCAGCCGGTACCTAAACGTGACTTATATCCTGTCTGACGCGGACGCGACTGTCATTCATTCAGCCGGTCGTTCGGGTGTACGAGTGGACGATCGATCGTCGTCTGGGATCTCACTGTAATCCTAAACCCGGTGATAAGAGAGAATGAGAGAGATACATATAAGAGATAGATGGAGAGAGAGAGAGAGAGAAAGACTGTTTTGCAAAGACCGCGTGTGTCACGAAGACGACGATAACGACGACGAGTGGCGCGACCTAGCACGTAGCCGCGAATCGTGCCGCGTCGAGCGCCCTGGGACGACTGACTGTTTTCTGTCGTGAGCGCGAGAGTATTGCTGCAACGAACGCGAGCCACCATCCAATCGGGCCGTGCAAATCCCCACCAGCTACAAGGTAGAGACGCGATGGAGGGGTGACCGGCACCTGGTGGACAGCTGCCCCTTACCTGGCTGCACGATGCACCCGGCCACCCCAACGCGACCAACACTCCGGGATATACCTCACCTCGCCGCCCGGGGTTAGAAACACCAAGTGACCGCTGATTGGATTCGGAAAAAGGACTCGGCGGCTCGGTTCCGCTCAACGTCGCAATGCAACGAATTCTCTTCCCTTTCGATCTCGTTCCGACTCGATCGAGATCGCCGGCAGCCCGATTAGAAATTCATCGGGTATACCCGATGTTGCATAAGATCCTAATTAAGCGAGCGCAAGATAATCCTCATTGTGGTGAATCTAATCGTATAGTGGTAATAATTGAATAAAGATCTTTTTAAGAGGGAGAGAGAAAGAAAGATTATAGTGATTAGATATATATTAAGATCTTAGTGTATTATCCTAATGTATTATTTTATAAAGCTTTACTGATCAAGTTCTTTCCGAGATCTCATGTATTTTATCTATTATGACTTGCAGTTCTTAGTTCAGTTAGACTTGTCAGTTTTTAATGCGGACCTTTTGTAGCAAACCTACATGGAAAAAAGATTAGCTTTATAAATTAGTGATGGATATTCTCATATATGAGAATATTATAATCTTCTTAGAAGATTTTTAATCTTGATTTGATTGAATTTGTATTGATGCAAATATAACTCCTGCACTTAATTCAAGATTAAAAATCTAAGAATAGTATAAAAATCTAAATATATTATAATATTTCTGCCGGTATTCTTGCTATATGAGAATATCTATCATTGATTTATATAAGACTATTTTTTTCTATGTAATATATAGTAGGTTCGATTAATAAACTTTATTTATTTTTTCCATAAAATATTGGATGTTTTTGCACTATTAAAGTCGAAAATCGTTTAATTCTAATAATATTTGTGCTTTACTTTATATTACATAGAAAAAAANACTAGTTTAGCACCTCCTGCTCTTTTTAAATCCTAATCTAGTCATAATCCTTTGCATTACTTGAGGCAAAACGCAAAACGCGATAGAGATTAAGGTCCTAGTTTCCTAGTTAATTCGTAGTTTAGATTTAAACTGATGATAATGCAAAAATGTTGTTTCTGTATTCATGATTAATCATTAAAATATTTTTTTATAGCGGTAACTTTTAAAATTTAATGATTAAATATGAATTTAAAAAACTATAATTTTTACATTATCATTATCAGGTTAAACTTAAACCATGAGTTAACCAGAAAATAAAAAACCGAGCTTGAGTCGTATAACCTGATCAGGACATTATAGTGAATCCTAAGGTCCTGAATACCACGTAGCATTATATGACTTCTTAGAAACCGATAGTATAACCTTAGTACATACTTTATATAATATATATAGTATATAGTACATATCTTAGAAGGACTCGACAACTAGTTAAGATCAACCCTGGATATTAGGATAAATTTCTAATCGAAAGATCGATGAGCGATAACGATCATTGCACGGATTTTGATCTCACGGCAATTTGTGTAAACACGGCTCCGCACGATGAGGCGAATATAGACGAATATGAGCAGACATTGGCAATTATATTGATCACGTATATTGAGCGAATGTAATAACATAACATAGGTGATCAATATAATGTTCGACACTCGCCTACATTCGCCACATTGTCTGGAGCCGACTTAAGAGACGCGACTCGAGGATCATATCGAAAACATTGGAACGACAAAAAAGTCCGGTAAAGTATAACAATTTGGAGATTTCAGGGTGGAACTTGCGAAGACAGGGCAGTGTCGTCGAACTTCCGTTCTGCAACATCCGTCTCGATCGCGCTTCATCTGGACCGAAAGAACGCCGGCGAACGCGACGAACGCGGCTCCGTTTTGGTCATCGATTCCGAGCCACGGCGCTCGGAGCATATCGAGGGGAGAGATCGTGTTTCCATGGGACTCGAGATGCATCTCTCATCCCATGACGAGATACGAATCGAGCCGGGTGACGTTGGCCCGGTGACGAATCGCTTGATGATAAAAGTAAGAAGGAAAGGGAGAGGAGGAAACGATATTCGTGGCTGGACATCACGCGCGAAGGAGCTTCATACAGGCACCCATATGTACCTTGTTATCCTTCACACGTGACGTAACTGAAATCAGCTCGGTCCTAATCGCGCGGCCGGTCATCCGTTTCATTTCCATGCGGGTTGTAGGAGAGCCGCGATACAGAAGTGACCGATGATTCAAATTTGTGACAACCAGCGCGTGATTATTCGATCTTGTGATAATTTAATTTTGTAAAGTTTCGACTTCGTGGGGATCCCGTCGCAGGCAGTTGTAGGCAGTAATTATGGGAAAAACACAAGGCAAGGAAAACGGATAGGGAAGAGCGAAATCCTTCGGGAGCACGACGCTCGTGCTCTCTCCTGCAGGACGCGACATTCAATTAGCACGAAGGAGACACCGAATCGACTTACGCGCAGCAGGAAACGTCGTTACAGGCGGGAATTGGATCCGGGTTCGGGTTGAGGAGATGAAATCGAAGTCCCGATCGGCGATCGATGCTCGCGAACACTCCCGATAACTCGACACCTCTTTGTTTCGGTCCTCCTCGCGGCCTACGCACATCCAATGAACACTCGTTAATGCGCATTCGCGAGGGGAGTTCGCTCGACGCGAATTTGTGTTACAGCATTAATCGGGGAGATTACGGCGAGTCGTACACGAAACAAGAGAGATATACGTAGATAGAGAGAGAAAGAGAGAGGAAGAGGAAAAGCACTAAAGCCGACGTACTATTTTGCTTATGGACTTTCGAATCCTATCGAAAGTGTAAAATTAAAATTTATAGCAGCAAACAAGCAACATTTTTCCACCGAGATATGTGATAGTCTCGTGAAAATTCTTACATATTTCTCGCAAATAACTATTTTTTTAAGATGTAAGAGAATGGATACTTGTAGAAACTAGGTCCCAAAACCAATATATTTATAGGGAACTTATAGGAAATTATCAAAGAAATAAAATGAAAACACCGAAATTGCATTATTTTGTACATTTACTATATGTTCTTATTAATTACCTTCAATTTTACATATTTTTTGAAACTTTAAAACAATTTTACGACATATTGTTCCTTTACTATGTTGAAAGGAATCCCACGACTTCTCCCCGATTATTTTAAATAAACAAACAAGAAAAACAAGAAAATCGGTAGCTTCAACTGTATTCTGTGAAATGATATTTCACAGTCAAGTTCAGATATGCCGATTTACAGAACAATCTAATTCTAACTTTTTTTGCGTGATGCAGTGATAGAAAATATAGATTGGAACAAGATTCAAAGTGATTAAAAAAATTCGAAACTTATATATGTGTGTGCATGTGTATGTATGTGTGGGAATGGAAGAATATTATTATTCTAGCGGTATAATGACGCAGCTAAATATATGGGGGACGCGTTCAACCCTCTTTAAGAATGACCTCGTTCGCGTTTTTCGTTCCGCTTGACTCCGGCGGCGCCCGGTTAGGCCGAGCCGAATGAGTCTCATTCCGCGACCCCATCATCGGCGAGTCGAATTTCGCGTGCGGAGCCGACGACAACGACAGGTTGCGGTATTCATGCGCGCGCGCGCAAGGTGCGTCCGATATATTATGCACCCTTGCGAAGTACGAATGCGGTGCGCCGTTATGACAGCCCGGATAAAAAGGACTCCGCTCTTCCTTGCCGCTATATCCGTCTGATCGATTCCGTCCCGGTCGCTCGGTGAAAAAGAGAGAAGAAACAACAGCCGCGTACGACAGTATTTAAAACGGCCGAAAGGCTGAAATCGTAGGGAGAACGAACGAACAACAGCGTGAATAGTACATTCACGTGACGTATTCCTCATACATACATCCTCCTATGCTCGCTTTATTAGCAATTATCTAGTCGTTAGCGAAGAAGAGGAAAAAGCCGCTGAGCGCGACACGAGGCGCAAATTGACGGAGATCCAGCCAAAGTTTCGGTATGCGACGTTTTACACGGCGTGAAGCGCGTAAATATCCTTGGCATGTATTACAGAGTCTAGAGAAAGAGAAAGAGATGGAGAAAGAGATAGAGGAAGACACAGAGAGAGAGGGGGGGGGGGAGNCGAAAGTCAAATCAAACAGACAGCACCTACGCGACTGCCGACTGTCGACGAAAGAGAGGTTTGTCGCGCCGCACGGTTTCCACGCACCGTTCCTCCACGCAGCGGTTCCGACATGGTGGTGTGCATGTAGGTGGGTGTATGACGCGCGTGTACCTGCGTGTGATGCGTCCGTGTGTCTCGCCAAGTATTATTCGCGCGCGCGCGCACACCCGCGTGTGTTATTTGTGCAGTAGTAGGAAACGGGCCAAGATACCCGGCACATTCTCGTAGGATGGGAAATATGCCCACGGCACCGTGGCCGCGGCTTCCTTTCGCGCATCCTTTTCGTCAGTGCCGGGCGCCTTCTCTTGCGTAACGATTACGACGCCACGCCGAGTAGTAACGGAGCGGCGGCCGCTAGTTCGTCGTCCGTCCGCTCGCACGCCGAACTCATTCATGAAAATCGATCCGGTCTGACGGCCGCCTGAGGAACGCCTATCGATATCCCGGACGACGGCTCGACCAGGACTCTCTCTCTCTCTCTCTTTCTGTCTGTCTCCCGCTGTCGTCAAGAGTGCGGAAGGAAAGCACCGTTTAAACAAGGACGATGAAGTATATAGTAAAAAGTATTTTGTTTTTTTCTTTTGTTAAAGTCAGTCTTATTAAAAGCATTGTTAAAAGTTTTGTACGAAATTCTAAATTCTAAACATAGCTGTGTGTTGACGTAACATAATGCGTTATTTGAAGATTTTGTGTTGAATTGATATTCAATATTCTTTTATGTTGAAAGAACACAATTTATATATAAATATACGTTTAACGTAAAGATTATCTAGTTTAGTTATTTTTTTCTCGATAAGAAACAATTACCCTCTGTTAAATCAATATATTTATGTTATGGTATTACTGCATTAGATCATGTACATGTGAAATGTACGCAGTAAAAAATTTTATATTCAATTTAACACATTTCACATGTTCCAAACAGTTTACTCAAATTTTTATGTTAATTTAATGCAAGGTGAGTATGTTAAAAAGTAACGCAAATGTTATATCAAAAATTAACATAAAATGAATATGTTAATCGACACTGAAGTATAAAATATATTATTTTAACACTAACATTTGTTGAATGTCGACGTAACA